TGGTTTTGGCGCTTCTTTCCAATTCAATAATATACAATTTTACATTTTGAATTCTCATTAGGTGGTGTAAATCCAACCATAAAAATCCATGTACATCTCACACACGGTGCGTCACATGGATTCGGGGGGTTACCTCCTTTCAAAAAATATTTAATGTAGGATATGGTGATCACATCACAAAAAGTGGTTAAAAATTAATATTTCGTGTATAGCCCTCTCCACAATGTGGTGAATGGATTTCTCATATAATTTATTTATAGACTTGCCTTTTAAATCGAATAAATCATGTTACATTTCAATTATTTTTTAAAAAAGGAATTTGAAAATAACAAGAAATAACACAGTTGAATTGCAAATTAAAATCCACTGAAAACTTTAAGTGAAGACTGTACTCAGTTTGAAATACCAATTGTAATTATCCCAATTACTTACCTGTAACAAAATACCACCAGCCATAAATAATATTCAAAATAAAAAAACAACTGCATTTTTTTTTTGTATTATACTTTAATTTTTATTCCATTTCTTTCGTATATAGGTTTACTTATAGACTTAGTTGTTTGTTTTTATTTTTTCACTTTTTTGTTTTTGGTTTTTCATTTCAGTATACCACAATTGAATTATAGTTAATAATATTTATTATGAAGTGTTATCTCGTGTTTTTTGGTTGGTTTGTTTTTTACATATGCCTTTTGGTTTTTTAGTTTTTTTGTTTGTTTTTAAATTAGATATTATCGTAATCACTATAACATTTTAACATGTTTACCTCAAAAAATTTATTATTATTTAGTGTATCTGTGTTTTTTTTTTTCTATTTTGCCTATATTTATTTATTTATTTATTTTTATTACATTCAACTGTAATTGTCGGTTTTGTTAGATTTTTCCTATTTCCGGTTGTAATGGGCTATGTATAAGAGTTTTTGAGTTTTGTTTTCTTCCTTTTCAATTATAATTTACTTAAATATTATTTTATGGGTTGTTTTTGTTGTTTTGATTTATTTTGTTAAACTTTAATGTTACACATTACATCCTAAAATGTGTGTGAGTGTGTGTGTGTGTGAGTGTGAATGATTTACTTTGATTTCGGTTTTATATAAATACACAGTTGATGTATTGAGTTATGGAAATGAAAATATTTTCCTAAATAAGTAATACATGATCTAGTCTATTAACTACTTATACTAATGTCATCTCATTCTCGTTCTTCTTGTATGGAGGGGGGAAAGTAATGTCCCCTCTGGATAAATTAGTTTTTCCCATTTTCCACGTTTCCGTTTTTCCCGTTTTGCTTTAATGACTTACAAATTGTTTATTTACTTTGGAAATTATCCAACTAAATGTTATGCTGCTATGTTGTTTATAAATATTTAATTTCATTATAAATTAACTATGTGGTATATATATATGTGTGTGTAGCTATGTGTGAGTGTGTACACGTGTCACCATGAAAGTGAGTGTTTAATATGTTATTAAATGGGGGAGCTTTTTTGTTTTTTCTTCATGAACTTTTATTCACTTAATAGTTTTACGTTATACGTTCCGCAAATGTATATTTACTTTTCAATATTTATAACTTAATTAACAAATACACTAATTTTTTTGCAGCAGCAGTAGTAGTAGTTGTTGTAGTTCTAGGGTTTTATTTTGTTTATTTCCATTTTCCGGTTATACAGGGGGGAGCATGTTTACACATTTGTATCTGTAATTTTTGTTATCTTTGTACAGTAGTTTGTTATGGAATCCTGTTTTTCCTCTCTTCTGCTTCTATATGTATGTATATTCGATATTTTTTCCCTCTATGTGTATATGAATGTGCGTTTTGTTTTTCTGTTAATACGGTTAAAATGTTAGGTTTTAATTTAGAATCTGTTTTAGTTTTTTTGTTTGTCTCTATTTTGTGTTTTTAGGGGCTTCTGTATTTGTTTTTCGGTTTTGTAGCTCCTATATTATTTGTTTTCTTTTTTTGTATATATGTATATATATTTAATAATTTACATACATGATAATTCAGTCTTTGGAAGAACAACATTTAATTAGTAATTAAAAAATAACACAACAAATTATATTCAAAATTCGTTTTTCAAAAAGAGTTTACATACACAACACCTAAAAGAAAAACAGCACTTGTAAATAAATACAAATAAGTTTAACAAAAAGTAGTTAAATTGATTTAAAATTGTTTAGCTAGAGGTCTTTTGTTTGGTTACAACAACAAGCAAGACGAAAAAGAAAAAAATTAACAAACAAAACCGTGTTTGTTCACGAGGTTTCCGAAAAAAAATTAACTGATTAATATTATGTTAAATTGAATACAACAAAGTTTATCATAGCAGAATCCGCTTTCCATGGAACCCACAATACGTTCGCAGCTATTGTTATTATAAACAAGCACCAAAAAGATTGAATGTTATGGTAGAACAAAATTGGGGCTGGGCGCTTATTTTTTATTTTACTTGGTACCGTCAAAATATCCCCAATTTGGGAGCTATCGTTACATGAGGATAATGAGGATCAATTATTTGGATGAATTAAAAAAGCAGGTAAGTTTTGAAAGTGCTTGAAATATATAAAAAAATGGGAGGAGCTTACGAAGACATGTTCCTTCATTTTTTTTTTGTCATAAGCTGTAATGCCAATTCCGAACTCTAAATACGAAATTTAAAACAATTCCGGTGAGTAATGCCGCTGAAATCATCAAAATACCGAATATCGGTAGGTATCGGTATATGGGGGCTATACGCATACGTGGACGTGCATATGCAATTTTCTGTGATGGGCTGTAGTGCCCATTACGAACTTGAAATACGAAATTTGAAACTATTCTGGTGAATAATTCCGCTTAAAACACCAAAATATAGAACATCGGTATCGTTATATGAGGGCTATCCGAAGACAGGCCCACGTCTTCGCGATTTTTTGTTGTAGGTTGTAGTACCCATTACGAAATTTGAAACAACTCCAGTAAGAAATATCTCTAAAACCATCAAAATACCGAATTTTGTTAAAACGTGGACGGACATGGGTCACTTTCGAAGTTAACCTGCCTACAGGCAAAATACACATGTGGTAAGAATTGAAGTCTTTCATCTCCATTTGTTCCAAAGATAGCATGATTACAATAAACAGACAAGCATCCCTAAATCGACTTACATGAATATTTCGAGGAGGTACAAACGGAATGATAGAGGTTAAATACCCTTCACAAAATGGTGAAGGGTATAAACAGTTCATCATTTTCCTCAAACCTTAGATTATTACTCCGACCTTTCGTACAAACTTTTTTTCAAAATTCTATCTTACAAACAGTATCACTGATTAGAGGATTTGTATTTTGGAAATCTGGATGTACCTATGATAAAATGTGTCAAAAATTTCGAAAGCGACTTTTTCTCAAATCTGCTTATCAAACATATTTTTTTAATTACAGAACTTCTTCTACCTCTTTTAAGCCAAATTTTAAGATTTTATTTTCAACTGTTTCGTCTAGGCGTTGATTATCAGTCAGCCCTTTACCCATTTTTTGTGCATTAAACCATAGTACGGACGGTGTATTAAGCCCGTCATCTGTTTGTAACTCCTCGAAATATTTTAGATTCTACAAAGCATATATATTTTTTATCACCCAATGTTACAAATTGTAGACTTCGGCGGAACGTAAATATGGTGACTATACTTGAAAGGTATGTCCCACACCTACATAATAAAAATTGGCCTTAGACTTAAAACCCCATTTCGAGTTTTGTTATTCTGACCTAGTAACATGATCTGCCTTTGAAGAATTACAACCTAGAGGAGGATATTGTTTGGCAACCAGGACCTGGGAGGTACCCTTATATGGGAAGTATACCAGGATATATACCCTTTACTCCCAAAGCAACCAAAATATATTTTTTTAACCAAATCGATTGAAAAATGTTGTCAGGACCCTCAAAATAGGTAAAATCAAGAAACATTGAACTACATTGAACGTTTATAGAGTAGAGGTTTTCTATCTCCCATGGTACTAAATATGGTCAAAACCATTTGAAAAATGTAGCCAAGACCCCGGAAATAGATGAAATCAGGACGTACCTTCGTATGAGGGTTATTACCAAAACGAGAGCCTTTATTAAACATTTTTTTGGGGGATGTTTTCTTCTTTATAAGGACTCAAATTACCAAAATTTCCGAAAGTGGCATGAGAACTATGATTAAACTGTAAAAATTACTTCAAATCAAGACATTCCCTTGTATGGAGGCTATTCCAAAACGTGAACCGGTCGTAGCCATATTTTGTACAATTAATTCTACATGTAACCAAAAGGCCTGTATCAAGTTTTAAAGCTCTATCTGAAATCTTGTGAGGTTTTGAGCCAAATATTTTAAGCCCTTTGTGTATTGTAAAGGCTATACATATAATGGGCCTAAAACGTTTGTAAAAAAATTCCCCAAAAAAAAAAAAAAAAAAATCTTTTAGAATTTTGACCAACTAACCGAATACTATCTACTACATTTTGGTACATTTAGTACGAATTTCAAAAATTCCGTTGTGGTATCCTTTTGTTTATTCTAGACCAGACATCTGGTATTCTACCTCTCGATTGCCGATAAATACCAATAGTACAATATTTTGCACCTTAAAGTGCTTTTCGTTTCTTTTAGTACGAATTTTCAAAAATTCTAGGAGTATATTCCTTAATTAATAATTGGTACTTTTAGTACCTTTCATTAGGAATGCTCATTAGCCCAGCCCAAATATTCAAAATTTCAAGATTTCAGTTTTTAGGTGCTTAGTCGTAAAAAAATTGCGTTAAAATGAATGTGAAATCAAGGAAAGGCATTTTTGTCAAAAGGCAATCGGAATCGGAAAATTGTGGAAAGACTTTTTTATGAAGAAAAAAAAAAAAATCGGAAAGATATTAAAACAAATATATAATAACAAAAATTTAAATAAAATCAATAAACTAGAAATTCACTTCAAAAAATTCCTTTCTATAATTTTCTTTATTTTTGGTCCTAATGGCAAAAAGAATTTGTTTTCTTATATGTTTACACTATATAAATATTTAATTTTCATTAATTAATAATTAACTAACACTTACTTACATTTATGGATAGTTTGAGAACTAAATGTTGCCAGTTAAACTAGAATAAATATCTTAATTTCATTGATAATTATTTACAGGGATTTTCGCTATAGAAGAAACAACAGTATTTCAATTACAAAAAAAATATTACAAAACATCAACAAAACTTAGAAGAAATGTATGTTTGTAGCTATATATGTGTGTTTGAAAGTACTTCGGCATTCCTTCATAGTTCATAGGTAAAAACAACAGAAAAATAGTTTAACATTTAAGAAGATTTCTTTTGGTTTTAATTTTCTCTAGTTTTTTGTCGCATTTGGTTTTTTGGCTTGCTTCGAACAAGACTTTTGCAATGCTGCAATTTGTTCGTCATACCTTTTGTTTTCTGTAGCATATTGTAGCATTTCACAGTTAAGCGCACGCAACACCATGTAATCTCTCTATGTGTGTGTGTGTGTGAGTGGTAGGGAAGGGGGAGAGGAGCTGGGGGATATGGTAGAGATTTATTTGGGAAAGAGGTCATTAGGATAACCCTTAGAGATCACACTTGAAACGTACGGTTAATTAATGTCACACTCTTAACTCGTCCATTAGGGGATGAGGTTGGGACTGGGCCAGGGGATGTGGTTGCATCGATTGGGCCGTGGTCACGGTGACTGTGGGCGGTACAGGTGGTGGCCCATTACCCGAGCCAGGACCCCCCATGCCACCCCCCGTCAGGGCTGTGGTCATCGTTTGATTATGAGAGTTCTGCAGTTGATGCTGATGTGTCACAATCATCTGTTGTTGGTTCTGTTGTACTTGTTGCTGTTGCTGCTGTTGTTGTTGCTGCTGCTGTTGTTGCTGCTGCTGCTGCATGGAGGATTGTTTCATGCAACTCTTTTTCGTTAATGTTCCACACTGATTACCCATGACTTGTAAGGCATGCGGTGGTAAGAGACCCATTATTGTGGCACTTTGCGCATTGGTGTTGTTGCCCATGCCAACGTTGCCACCTCCTCCAGGATCCTGCTGCATGGACTTGAGATGTTTCGGTGGTGGTGGGGCCCGATGTGGAAGATCGGCAAACTCGGGTGGTGGCAGTTGGTGATGCTGCAGGGCATGATGATGCGAGAGTATGGTGGCTGGATCACTTTTCGTGTGTATGGTAAGGGTCTCCAGGTCTCCACAGATGTTGTTGGGCATTTGCCCACTTTCCTGGCGTTTCAGTTTACTTTGGGAGCGTGGCTCGTTGAGACGGGTCTTGTCACGCTGATAGTAGACTCCGGCAAATATCAGAACATTCAATATCAGCAGACTACAGCCAATGGCAATGGTCACACTTAGGGCCGTGGAATAGGCAGCAAAGCCATCACTTTCTTGGGAGGCCTGACTGCCTCCGTGGCCATCGCCATCCATCATGTCTTCGGGGTACAGCTTGCCACCCGGATACCTTGTGCCATTGCGTTGCAACGACGACGAAGGTGAACTGAGATTAAGCAGGGAGAACACTTGATTGGTAAATATGCTAAAATTGCCCAGGGCCGCATTTCCAATGCTGGGCGAATAGGGTGGATTCAAGGGCTTAACAGCTGCCTCGCCGGCAATGTTATTGTCCATTTCATCATCGTCGCTTAGTTGATGATGTGAGGGTGGTACATTGTCGCCGCCCGGCTTGTGTAGGTCCGGTATGAGATTAAGCCAAAAGGACAAACGATGAGCACGATAGTGATTTTTCAATTTTGGCTTTGTGTCTAAATGAAGGCGAAAGAAGGAAAAAACCAGAACAGAAAAAAAGTTAGGACATCACAAGGCAACGATGACGTTGACGATAAGATTGATTGGAAAAGGCCGACATGGTGGCCAAAGTCAATAAGGAACTTACCAAAATTCAAATACTTTTTGTGTACACTTTCATATGCCGTCCAATCAATGGTCTTGTAGCGACTACGTTCTTGACGGCTGCCATGGTCGCTTTCCATTTGCTCGTTGGGATTTCTGCGAAAAACAGAACAGATAACGACTATAAGTACAGAGATCAATTCGGACAAAATCAAAGGAGATTCCAATGGCCTAAGTGCCGAAAATTAGTTTTACTTCGCATGAAACTTACCCCGTCCTTACGAAGTTCGACCAGTACAGCATAACGATTTCTGAGAGGCTCACTTCGGTCTTGGTGTAATTGCGGGTGAAATGATTGAACCCCCCTACCAGGGGTGCCCCGAATATGTATGGCAAGTCCTCGCCATGTATGCAACCTTGACGCTGTACATGAAAAGAGAAGCCAAACAAAGCAGGGAAACATAACATTAACTTGGGGGGATTTGCAGGATGATTACTTTTTTCCGTTTTTCGTTTTTTTTTTCAAATACTGAATTGAGGTTTTCATGCGAACGGTTGTTGTTTTTTGATGGAACTGTGAACTCACCTGAGGATAATCGCCATAACGTGTTTGGTAGTCAAACACATACAAATACGAATTACGATGGTCGGCCGAATGCAAATCCACAGTTTGAGCAGCAGGAGCCACAACCTGGGCATCGCTCAATGCCTCCAGTGTTTCGTCTCTGTGGAGGAAAGGGGAAACGAAAACAAGGTAATTAGTCAAAACGGTAATTTCAATGGAGAACATTTTGTGTTGGTATTGATTACAATTCACAATTTGTGATATGTCTATGTAATTGTGTGTGTGTGTCAGTGTAGCTATGGAAATATTTACTTTGTATTAAATATTCGTTATGTTTAATTGTAAAATAATTCATTTGCCATATTTTTGTAGTCTCAATTTGTGATTCGAGCAGTTCAGTTGAGTTGCGAAAAAAAAACAATTTTTTTTCTTTCTTTTTTTTTTTTTGTTCATCGCGGCCTTAGAATAATAATGAAAAAAATTATAATGGCTTTTCAATGAAAACACTGGAAGATTTGTTAAATGCTAATTTTTGTAATATTTTTGTTCACCAAAGTCATAAATATTCCCATAATATTCACATATTTAATGTTTTGAATATATTTCAAATTAATTTATGTAAAAGTCTCTCCTTTTTTTTTTCTTTTGCGTAAAGCGTGACTTTCTAATTTTTGTAATAACAAAAACCTTTTTGTTTTTTGTTGCTACTTCTTGTTTTTACTGCATAATATTCCACTGTGCTCATGTTTCCACATGAGCGGTAATTAAGCAATGTACATATATATCTCTCTATCCATCCATCTATCTACATTATGGTCTGTCGGATGAACATCGACGGATGGGTCTTGGTGTGGGCGTCCAGCCAGTTACTTGGCAAAATTTCATAATCAACAACAAATTGAATTTATATTAAATTATTTCACAAAAAATTGAGCAATCAGTCAGCGTTATTCATGGCGTTTGCATCTGATATGACATTCAAATTAAAATCTGTTTACAAATGGTCAAAAAATATGAAAATAACATTAAAATCAATTTGCCATGGTTAAAAATTGCCAACTTTTTTGAAATGCACGCAAAATTGGGTGGGGGGGGGGGGGGGGTGTAGGGGCGAAAAATATATGAAATATGTAAATTTAATTTAAAACCATGTAAATAGTTTTAAGTGGTTGTGGTTGGGGTATTTTCCGGTGAATGAAATTTTTCATGGCATTTGTTTGTAGAGTTAGTGGAAATGATTTCGTAGCAGACGAGAAATCTATATTTAGGTGAGGAAAATATGGAAATCATATATTTCAATTAAAAATGTGTCGCTCATTGGCATTACCATGAATGGAAAATCATCTTCGCACTGCAAATGGTAAAGTACAATTATTTTAACTTGATATCTGGGAAATTCAATTGTCAAACGGTGGCATAACTCAATTATACAAAAAAAAAAAAAGAAAAAAATTATCACAAATCCATATAACGCTTCTAATGATGAATTCATTTCTATTTAATTAAGACGGTTGCAAAGCAACTTTTCCTTAATAAAGTAAACGAAAGCATCCTTTCATATTTACAAAGTTTGTCCCAAAAGCCTTGACTTGATTATCTCCAACGATCCCGACTTCAGGTTTACACCTGCTCCACTTCCAAATAAATAAGTAAACAAGTTGTATGTTCGGCCGGGCCGAACTTCGAATACCCTCCACCATATGGAATGAATTTGGCAATTTTCAAAAACATACAATTTTAAAAAATACCGAATGTAGCCGTTATATTGGGTTCCATACGACTACGTGGACCTGCTAACATTTGTCCTAAACGTTTTTAATATTCAAATGCGAAACTTGAAGAAATCCGGTGAATAATGTAGCTAAAATCATCAAAATGTCGATTCTATTGAGGTACCACTATATGGGAGCTACACAGACAATTGTCTGCCATAGGCTATAGTATCCATTTCGAACGTCAAATACCAAATTTGAAGCGATTCCGGCGAATAATAATAATAAAATCATCAAAAGACCGAATATAGGGTGGTACCGTTATACGACGGCTGTACGAAGACGTGTACCTGCATAGACAATTTTCTGTCATAGGCTGTAATATCTATTACGAACTTCAAATACCAAATTTAAAACAATTCTGGTGAATAATGTCGCTAAACTCATCAAAAGACCGAATATCGGGAGGTGCTGTTATATGGGGGCTATACGAAGACATAGAACGAGTTCCGATCCATCTGCAGAGGTCTGAAAATCAGCTACCGAACATATCTTCACAGATCTTTCAAACGAGAACTGCGGAGGCCCAGACAACGGCTCCCGAGCACATCTACAGCGAGATGCCGAACTCGAACGAATACCGATCTTAGAAGACCTGGACAGTCCCTAAACCTGTCTCCGAACATATACCTCGTAATTTCGTACTATATTCAACCCATCGACAATCGACGACCATGAGCCAAAGATCCCAATTACCTTCAAATCGATAATATCCCGAATACCAGCATTACCTGAATATAAACATCGCAACCCCTGATCCCACGAATACCCGATCATCTTCGAATATTTGGCTAATCACACTTCAAATCAACCACCCGGGTATCAATCATGAATAACTCGACATCTCTTCATCATAGCCGACATCGCTACATAAATCATCTGATTTACACACCGAGGAAAGGGAGAAATGCATCAGTCTTATTTCATAAGGTTTAGCAGATACTTATGGAGACCCTGGATACAGCTGATCTAAACTCAGCCGACGAGAAAACCACGTTACAAGTGGAAAGATAACTTCATAAAAAACTCGAACTCTTCGAGCACTCCCGCTCGCTAGTTTTTATCACTGATGAGTAAAAATTTGCAAATCTGAGCTCTGGTTATGATGGGAAAACGGTACGTCGTTTAAATTAATACTCGAATGAATGACCATGTAATCATCCACACCAGCGACTATTCACTAAGGAGAGATATAAAATTCCATTTTACCTCGAATCAATCAAATTCCAAGTTTTCGGGATTTGGATTTTTAGGAAGGCCTTCAAATGAAATTTGGTTTTTCAGGTCAAATATATACTCTTTTTAAGCGAAAATTACCTAAAATCTTTGCACTAAACAACAGTCATATCCGTCAAATTTTTGTTGCAGCCAAAATGAAATTTTAATTTTTTTTTAATGTGTTCAAATGTATATATGTCTACCCTGATTTCAGACTGACCCGGTTACAAAAAGTGTTAAACCGAAAGTCTGGCACTAAATCTCGGTTTATACCCGAATCTACCTAGCCGGTATGGGCAGTGTATATTTCGATTGAAAACTTGTGAAAGTAGCTGTCACACTAAAACGTTTCGTGACTTATAGCAAAATAATCGATTTTTGAGATCAGCTTGTTTTATACAACTCACAATAATTTGAAGAAAGATCTATTTTGAGCGAAGTCGGGACTCTCTGAAATATTCATAAAAAAATTGTTATCACGAAATCAGAGCAAAAATCTCTATATCTACGGTTATCTGGCAGTTCAGTAAAATATGGTCTTATACCTATTTTTTTTATGGAGGTTAACTTGCCTAAATATCACTAGAAAAATATCGTATAATGAGTAGTACCGTTATCAGGGATGTATTGACATCGCATGTCATCAAGTTTTAAGATATTGATCCCGGACTCAGCTGCACATAAATTCTATCTCATTCGTTCTCTTCGAGTTTAACCCATTACCTTTTGTGCCCTTAAATCAACCTTATACCCAATGATATTCTATGTCTAATGAATTGCTAGTTTACTACCTTTTACAGTGCCAAACGCTCAAACCCGACATCAAAACTCTATTATTTACCTTTCATTTTTATTGAATGTATAAAAATAATTTTCCATAGTAGACAAGTTATTCATTGTGTTTTATCCGGTTTTTATTTTTTCTCTGCTGTTATCTGGCATACAAATAGTTGTATGAATACCTATCGTTATGTGTGTGTGTGAGTGCGAGAGTGATTGAGGAAACGTTAAGGTGTGTGACTCTGTATATGTGTCGGTGTTTTGTCAAACTTCCGGCTGTCGGTGTGAATAAATCAGCTATTGATACAGGGAGGACCACCCCAATTTAGTTTGTGTTGACATTAAGGGCGAGCAAAGCTGTTAACACCATTACCAACTAGGACAATAAAAAAAAGAAATATTGAAAATGTTGTTTGTCGTTGTTGATGTGTGGCGTGGTGTGTGTGTGCTTGGTCCATCCGTTTACCCTCAGCGGAGAGTAGATTCAGTTTATTTTATTCAGGTGTTGAAAGTCATACAGTTGTGTTTTGTATTGTTATTGTTGTATTATAAAATCTCGAGGGTGGCGCAACAAAAAAAAAAAAAAAACGTTTTTTTGTTCAGATTTTTCCTCACTTTTGTTGTGGCTTGAATTTGAAAATCGTGTCTAAAATGTGTAATTTGTGGGAAATTGTTAAAGCAAAATTGTTGTGTTTCTTTTTTCTTTCTCGCCTTTTACACTTATTGTTAGAACTACCGCAATTGTTATCGTTGTTAGCTTTTAAAATTCTATGGACGTTTGTCGGTGTGTGTGTGCATGTGTGGGTGTATGTATGTATGTTGATGAAATATAGAATTGATTGCTCTCATTGAAAATTTGTTTGAATGATTTGAGGATTTTTTTATGAGTTTTTTGGGTGTGAGAGTGTGTGTGTGGTTTTTGGGTGAAAATATCCTTTTTTGGGCGATTTTATCAATTTAGAAATTGCTGGTAACACAAATGAAAAATGTCACATTTAGGAAACAATAGGATATTGGATATTTTTTTGTATTATTGATGGTGGAAGTAATTTCAATCAGAGCGAATAGCTGACAGAAATAAAAATAAAAAATATGGCGCAATGGGATTAACTTAAATTCATGTAAAAAATTCTGTGGAATTTTGCACAATATTGAATGAATTTTTTAAGTGCATGGGAAATCCAAAGGAAAAAAGGAGTTGAAAATTGCTATTGCTCATTTTTCAAATGTATAACTTGGCAGAGGAAAAAAAACATTTAAAAAAGCAATGAAGTTCGGCCGGGCGAACTTTTAATACCTTCCACCATTTGGATGAAACTCGAAAATTTTCAAAAAACTTCCGGAAACTGAAAATGTTATGTGAAGACTATACGAACACGTGGACCTGTTT